TTAACGTCAATATGTTTGGCAGCACACTTGACCCGTTGTTATAGGAGCGAACTTCTTAAATGGTTATTGCTGTTGTATACCATTATTAATTCCGGGTGTAAGTTCTTTTAACCATTTTGCCTGTTCCTTAAGCCTCATAACAAGCTATACCATGGGTATGCATCTTTGATGACACCATAACTGTTTCTTTGGAGCTTTTCTATAATAAAACTCCAACTGCGAGTGTTAGCTACTATGTGGGTTTCACTAAACATCTCGCCAAAATTTAACTTTTATACCCACAACTATTTGAGAGTACTTATTCTTTCTTACTCACCATGAGGCCTATAAATCTTTGCACAATTGCAAAACATTCTCAACTTCATTCCAGTGATCTATATCTGGACTGGACTTCTGCCAAAAACATCCCGGATACATAAACTGTATCAGGGTAAGTTCTTGCTTATAAGCATTCAGTAAGCTTTCAACAGCTGAAGCATATAGGACGTCCATTTGATCGATCTCACATTTATTCTTGGAACACTGAAAGTTCCGAAAACTATTACCTTCGACTATAGGAACAGGCGCAGGTTTATTCACATATATACTTTATTTCTTTAGAATCTTCTCTAAGTATACACTTGAGATAGTTCTAATACCTCTTTTCCTTTTATCTCGGTAAGTTCCAATTCCTGGAACGAATGATGCTTTACCAAGACCATTCTCATTGAAACTTGAGGACAAGAACTGCTTCTTCTCCAATAGTAGATTAACACCACTACTAGCGAGTAAGGTGCTACCCACATGTAGGATTAGGAAAATAAATTTCCCATGTTTAAACTTTGCATAAACACAATTGTCCTCTATATTCTCTTTAAAACCCAAACTTTCTTATTGTACTGTCAAACTTCAAGAACCACTGTCTTGAAGCTTGCTTTAATCCATAAATGGATTTCTTTAGGCAACATCCCTTACATTCTTTTCCTTCCACGACAAAATTTTTTGAGTTATGCCATGTAAACTTTTCCATACAAATCCCCGTTGAGGAAAGTGTCTTTACATCTTTCTGATGTAACTGTAAATCGTAATGTGCCACTAACACCATTATGAAAGAATCCTTGCATGCTGATTATAATCTATTCCTTCTCTTTGTGTAAATCATTTCACCACAAATGGCGCTTTATAGCTTTCAATATTCCCTTTTGATATCTTTCTATATTCCCTTTGGAGTCACCTTTGTCTTGTAGACCCATTACAGCCTACTGTTTTGGCTCCATTGGGAATTTCTTCTAAGTCCCAAACATCGTTGGTATTTATCGATTTCATTTCATCTTCCTTTACTTCTTGCCATTTAGACGTGTGAACGCCTCTCATGGCCTTTTCAAATGAGGTGGAATTACCCTCTATTTGAATTTCTTTCTTAGCATTGACTACTTAGTCACCAAAAATATCTGATTTTCTTATTCTTTGAGACCTATTGGGGCCTCGTGGCACTTCTTTCATATGGGGCTATTGTTGCTCTTTATTGCCAAAAGGCAAATGTTCTATAACCTCCTGTATCACAAGATCCTTGTTTACTTATTCATCTTCTTTATGTCATACAACATCATCATGTATTAAGCAATTTGTTGCTCTAAAACACTGTAGTGGATATATAATCCCACTTCTATTCAAGCTTTAGGTATCTACATATCAAGCTCCCCCAGATTACTCCATCTTCTGTAAAGATGATGTATCTTCAAATTTCTTATTTTTGGTTTAATCTGCTAAAAACTCATATGGCGCGTTTAGCACCGCCTTGATAACTCTGAACTCGTCCAGTATAAATACTAGCCGACTATGCTATCTTCCTATCAGAACTGTAAAAGGTCTAGGAATTTAGCTATTTCTTTACTTTAGGGGTATCGTTATTATAACCGTCTTACTCTCTCAACGATCACATTCATCTTTTATAGATCACTTTTATCTTCAATGCATAGTATGCATTGTATTATCTGAAGTATGGGGAAGTATCTTTCTTAATTGTCTTTCTTAATTAATCTTACATTTCTTCCCCTCGAAATGTGGTATGAACTTTTCTACCATAATTTTGAAACATTCTAAACTCTTGTGAATGAGAAAACTTTGATTACTTACTTCATCCACATGATTACATCATGCAAACAAAATTAGTATGGGAGTATATTTCCCTCATTTCACTTCAAAATTCAACATAGTCTATTATTTTCAATACTTCTGCAAGTCACGCTTGCATATCATTTTTATCTTTTGGTTCACATGCAACTTTCTTTTGTTCTTAAACTCATTGAGTACTTAACGACCATGACACAATCAGAGTGTACGGTCAATTCTAGGATAGCATAAGAGCTACCACAAACTTCTCTCCATGTGCGGAATACACTTAGAGCACATGAGTCATCATATCCTTCTCTTGCCATGCAGGATAAGTACTATGCCAAACTCTCCCGCCATACAGGATTGGTTACACATATGTACTATGCCAACTTTACCCCGCCATGCGGGTATTTCATCAAACTTTTCCCACCATGCGGGTACTATCACAAACTTTTCCGCCATGCGGGTACTATCACAAACTTTTCCCGCCATGCGAGATAATTCCTTTGAACAAACATATTTGCCAGGATTGGCTCATGTTCAATCATCAGACTCAGAAATAAATCTGAATATTCTTTTAACACACATGTTTAATCCAATGTTGGTCAAATTAAACATGTATATGACTTTTACAACTCTCATAAGTGAAACTGAAAATAAATTCTTCTTCACAGAGAGTACATAAAAGACATTTTTCAATGAAAACTCATTGATCTATCTCTTTTCTTGGATCAATATCCTAGAATTCTTTTCTTTTGAAGCCATTCTTTAAAGAGAACACAGTCCCTTAAGCAATGACATTCTTTCATATATAACTTGCCCTTAGGCATTTCATCATCCGAGTCACAAGTACCCAGCTCATTTCTCTTACTGTCTTCAAGAATGAAAGCATGGAAATCTTTTATCTGAAAAATATTCAACAATAATGCTCATTAAACTTTGAAATCTTTATGTTCTATTCTATATCACCGTTGGACAGAAATAGAATAAAACATCATTCTTCTACATTAATTCCACATCATCGTTGGGCAGAAATGGAATTAGCGTATAGAAATTCAATAATCTTGAAAACACAGAACTGCTCCTCAAAATTAAATTCTCCCGTTGGTTCGAATTTAATTAGAAGACAATCAACTTCATTGCAGCAGAAACATGAAATACATTTCTCTAGTTTAAGAGCATTCTTTGGTCTTTATCTATTCTCTGAAAATTGGTCACTTTGATGCAAAATTCATCAGAGATTTAAACTTTAATCATAAAACTCAGAAAATTATAATATTGTTATCATCAACGTTGGTCAGAAAATAACAATACCATAATTTAACTTTAACTATCAACTCATAAATAAACTTATAATATTGTTATCATCAAAGTTGGTCAGAAAATAACAATATTATAATTTATCTTTACTATCAACCGACTATTCCTCCAATTAATTTTTTTAGTTGGTTCCAATTTTAACTGGAGGATAAACTTTTCATCATTTACTGAATAACTATAACTGCTCTTCAAATTAGAAGACAATAAACCTTTAACTTTGCAGCGGAAAACATAAATATTCTCATTATTATTTTTCTAGAAACTTTATAGAACTTTACTTTTCTCTGAACAAAATTGTCGTTGGATCAAAATTGTGCAGAGTTGGATATTGTAATTCATCAAATATGTATCAAAAGTTTCTGGAAAAAATAAAACGAATTCAATTTCACTATGTTCGGCCATTTTGGCCCATAGCAGCGCAAACGGCCCACGGCCCACGACTGCAGCCGTCTTCCTGCGCGCTCCCCCGCGCCAAGGCCGCAACCTAGGCCTGGGCCAGGAATTCGGCCTCGCGCTCTATCCCGCCTGGGCTCTATTCGGCCCGGAGCAACGCTGGCCGTCAATCTAGATCCGATGGCCAAGCGCGCATTTTGCTCGGATAAAACGCCGACGCCACGCGCGCCCAAGGAAACCCTAACCTCATTCTCTTCGGCCCTCTCTCTCTCTCTTCGCCTCACTCCACTCTCTCTTCACAGCGCAGCAGGAGCCAGCCACCGAGTGAGAGGGCGAGAGCAACGATGGTGGAGCGAAAGCCATGGCGCCGTCGCCGGCCCCCTCACCGGTGAGCGCGCCGCCGTCGAGTGGCCTGGCCGCGACGCCTCTTTGGTCGGAGCCCGGCGAGCAGTGCCCCGGCTCGGCGTTCTTTTCCCCACGCGCCTCTTCGTAGGGTTAGGGTTCCGGTCTGTTGGATCCGAATCAAATTCGAACTCCACTCTTTCTTTCCATTCGTTTTTCTTTGCTTTTGATTCGGAAAACCTTAGATCTACACTCTAGGGTGGCGAACTGCTAGGGTTAGGGTTCTTTGTTGAAACCGTGTTTCAATCTCATCCTCACTTTTTCCGTACCCGATCTAGGGTTAGGGTTCGATTTTCTTTTCTTTCCCGATCCAGATCCACATACTAAACCTGGCTCTGATACCATTGTTAGATAGTTTGGATCATCTAGTAGTGGATCCAGTGGGTGAGTTCTTTTCTAATTGAATCACATAGACCTAGAGTTTGTTTCGGGAGTAGGAGACAGAGAGATAGAGGGAGATGTAGGAGCATCTGACCGTCGGAGGAGCTCCCTGGCCTTCGCTGGTTCGTCGGTGAAGATCTGTGCACGGGCAGCGACGTTTGGTGTAGCTGTAGAGACCGGCGGTGGTGGAGGCAGTGGCGCTTCCCGCTGCTGGCAGTGCCACCCTCTAGATCGGATTAGGGTTAGGACAGTGGGGCTGTGGCGGCGGTGAACCTCGTGTCAAGAGCCGTTTGTCCCACCTCCTCTTTATAGACACTGTACGACGGGGGTCCACCAACCACTAGATGGCTGGACGTCCCCGATCAGGATGCGGTCAAGGGTCCGTCTCGACCGTTGGGTCAAGACGGATGATGCGGCGGCACGTCCACGAGAACGGGCCCCGGGAATGGAGCTCCATTCGATCCAAAGGCCTCCTCCCGCGCACCGGCGAGTCCTGCCGCCTCCGCTGGGTCAACCAGCTCCGCCCGGACATCAAGAAGTAATGCACGCATGCTCACCCTGCTCCTCCTTCGCTTCCTTCTCCCTCTCTTTTCTTCCCAACCCGGCAAGCATGTTGGTTACGCCGCCGCTCTTCTTCGTTCTTCCTCATGCATTGCCCTGTTGACGGTTCGGCATGGACGACGGGTGAAGAACTGCTGTTCAGATACATACCCAACACTGATGAAGAACTGATGCCGTTTCCTGTGTGAAGGGGCTGCAAGTTCTCGGCGGAGGAGGAGCGCGTGGTGATCGACCTGCAGGCTCAGTTCGGCAACAAGTGGGCCAGGATCGCCACGTACCTGTCCGGCCGCACGGACAACGACGTCAAGAACTTCTGGAGCACGCAGCAGAAGCGGCTGGCCAGGCTCCTGCGCGCGCCGGCGCCCCGTCGGAGGCCCGGCGGCGGCAGCGGCAGGCAGAGCTGCGGCGGCGCCTCGTCCTCGAACGCCCGTGCCTCTACCGCTCAGAAGGTGACTTTGATTACTGCCTGCATTATTATCTGCTTGTCTCTCTGAATTCTGAATTCTGAATTCTGATTATTCTGAAGTGGAGTAGCAGACTTGTACGTGTCTGATTGATTTGCAGCATTGCATTTCTGAAACAAATGGCTTCTTCTGAACTAGTACGACTATAGCCAACAAGCAGTTGTCTTTCTAACAAATTTATTCTAGTATATGATTTTCTGAAAAATGTTTTTGTTCATGTTTCCTTTGATCAGCTTCTAGTACTGTACCATTTTCTGAAAAATGTTGCGTTTATGTTTCTCAACTCAAGTCTCGACTATGACACATCTGACAACTGAAAGTCTGAAACGTTGCGCATTGCAGTTGCAGCTTCTCTGTCAGAGCCCGTGCCAGGACATGATCCCCATCCAGGAGACGAAGCCGCTGCTCCACAAAGGCGGCCAAAGCAGCAGCAGGCGGGAGGACCAGGAGCCACGCCCACGCACGGTGGCTCTCGCCATCTCGCTGCCCACGCACTCCGACAGCGCATCAGAGTTCGGTTCGTCCGGTACCACCCCGACGGCGGCCACTCGTCTGCTCTCATGCGGCGGCGGCGGGAGCCCGGCCTCCGGCGTCGACCCGCTGGTGTTCGTCGACCCCGACGACGACGATGCCTTCTGCCCGGAGCCGCTGGCGGTGGTGCCGCCGAGCCCGTTCTTCGGCATGGACGAGGAGTACGTGGACTTCGGGTCGTCGATGCACCAGGGCGTGCGCTTCGACGACCTCACGCCGGAGACGCTCGACTTCTTCGGCCTCCCTCCGTCGGCTCAACCGTACAGTGACTGGTGGTACTTGCAAAGAGTGACTGGTGGTACTTGCTCTCAGTTTTTGCAGAGAGTACTACCCCCCAATGTGCGTCTTGTTCTGCCTGATTTGTAGCGTTGTCCTCTGACCTGCACGAACCATGCTAATGGTCAGTGTTTCAGTCCGATGTAGTATGAACTAGAGTGCCAGATGTTGTATGAACTAGAGTGCCAGACTTTTGTTCAAGTGTTTTCAGTCCAACAAGCTTTTGCGTTTTTGAAATTGTGTTCAGTCCTTCCTGTTAATCTGTGAGCTGTGCTTCAGCATTTCTTAGGGGCCGTTTGGTATGGATTCTTCGACGGCTCCTGGAGCTGTTTTTCGGCTCTCTCTACCAAACGGCAAAAATGAAAGCGCTCTTGCGTGAAGCTCCGGAAATCGCGCTCAGACAGACGGCAGGCGCGAGGTGAAGCTGGAAATAGTTAGCTTCCGCCGGCTCCCTCTGACACCACGCGGGCCCGGACTCTTCTGCCCCGGTGCGGGGCGGCGAGGCTGCACCGGCGATGGTGAGGCGAACCGCAGATGCGACGTCGAGGTGGAGGCAGAGCGTGTGTGCGCTGGCGCGTCGGTGAGGCCGTGCAAGTGCACGCCGGCGAGGAGTGCGGGCCGCGCGAGCGTGCCGAAGAGGAGGGGCCCGGCAGCCGGCGCAGCTTGGGAGGAGCCATGGAGGAGGAGGGCCGACGACAGCCAGCGCAGGTGCTGAGCTTGCATACGTGCTTTCCGGTTCCGGCGATGGAAAGTCGAGAGGATAAGGAAGATTGGAAGAGTGCAGAGGATGGAGAGCGAGAGGATAAGAACGACGCCACGCTTCTGTTGGGTGGAGGGAGAAATACTAATAAGTGATATAAGGGAGGAGAAAATAAAATAAAGGAAGAAACAAAAGAAAAGAACCGGAGCTCTACCGCCACTCATTATGCATGTCTTCATCCAAAACTAACAGGTTGTTTTTTTTTGAAAGACAACGGGGGATGATCTATTCCCACCTGATTCATTACCACAGATCCCAAGGAAACCTGCAGCCTGTTCGTTTGGCTGTGGCTCGTCGTAAACGATCGTAAATTTTTAGCCGGAACAGTGTTTTTCTCTCACACAAACCAAGCCAAGAAGACTTCTTCACGAACCAGCAACGATACGAACCAACCAACCGAAAAGGCTATTGGTGGGGGGAGGACAGAGCCCGAGTTCGGCGTGGCGCCACAATTACAGAGGTACATAGCGAAGGAGAAAAGGCAAGATTACATGCTACTAAAAGAACTCCAGAAGTTAAGATAAGATGGGCGAGCTTCTCGGCATCCGATATTCCCATAGGGCCGCGGTGTTCTTGCAGGTGGCAATTAGTCTCTCGACCCTTTGCGCCATCCCCCTGAAGACCACATCGTGACGGTGCTTCCACAATTCCCAACAGCATAGGAGGAGGGAGGCAGGAGCAGCCTCTCGGGGAGCCCTGTGAGGCTTTTTTGTTTCCCAGAGTCTGCATTTCTCTAGGTTGCCAGCCTATTCTTCTCTAGAAGGAGCGAGCGAAGGAGCAGCCCGACACTATGTGATTTGCATCTTCATCTTGGCTCTTGCAAAGGTCACAGGTTGCATCAGACAGTAGGCCTTTTTTCTCCAGGTTAGCCTTGCACTGGATTCTGTCTTGGACCAACAGCCAGGCGAAGAACTTCACGCGTGGGGGAGCAAAGTTGCGCCAGATGAAGTCAAAGGAGGGCAGCTTCTGATCTCCTCTGACTGAGGTTTTGTAGATCATCCCAGCAGCCAGCTTCCCATCCTATCTGGCGAAGACGCAGACCCTATCGTCCGGGGTATCGTCAAGGCCCACACTCAGTAGGAGACACTACAGTCGCTCCATTTCATCCTCAGCCTGCCTGGACAGCTGAGGTTGGAGCATTGTGTCCAAATCCCCACTGAGGACATCGCGCACCGAAGCATCTCCTTTGATGAAATGGCTGTGCAGCGAGGGAAAGGCCTCAAATAGAGTTTGATTCCCTAGGCATCTGTCATGCCAGAAGGTGTATTCTCCATTGCCAGCCCTGACATGCAATATGCTTCTGTATACTGGTAACAGCTCCCTCATCACCTCCCAGTGCGGCCCGGTCACATCTCCATGGAGATCCACAAGGCTGACCTGTGTTCTTGCCCAAGCTGCCCATGACGAGTCCCCTGGATGGTATAGCCTGTGTATAAGCTTGAGCAGAAGGCGAGCGTTTTGAGTGTCGAGATGTTTGATCCCTAGGTCTCCATCCTCCTTTGTTTTGCAAACATTTTCCCACGTGATAAGGCATTTGGCACTCCTGGTGAAGAAGAAGACAGGGGACTAGCGATTATGTATTGATTATCGACGAATGAATGCTCTTATAGTCAAAAACAAGTATCCTCTGTCCATAATAGACGAGTTGTTGGACGAGCTACATGGAGCACAGTGGTTCTCATCTCTGGACCTTTGTTCAGGCTTTCATCAGATACGGATGGCTGAAGGGCATGAGCCAAAAATCGTATTCCAAACTCACAACGGCCATTACGAATATAGAGTGATGCCGTATGGTGTTACCGGAAGTCCAGCAACATTTCAGGGCATTCTGAACACTGTGCTGGCTCCATTTCTGAGAATCTTCATCGTGGTATCTATTGATGATGTGTTGATATATAGCAAGACTTGGGAAGATCACCTTCTACATATTGAAGCTGTGTTCAAGGTTTTGCAAGAGATGAGTTTTATGTCAAACTCCCTAAATGCACTTTTGCCATACAAAGACCTTAGCTATTTGGGCGATGTCAAAAGATCTGTCGGTGTCTCTACAGATTCCAAGAAGATTGTAACACCCCGGCCCAGGGCTTAACAGGATTAATATGATACTCATACCAATAAGTTGCAACTTCTTTTCTAGAAGCCCATCTGCAAATAACTCCGAGGTTAAGCGTGCTTGGCCTGAAGCAATGGGTGACCGACCGGGATGTTCTTCCCGGGTGCGCACGAGTGAGGACAAAGTGCGCAGAAAAAACCAGTGTTGGTCTGTGAGGGCAGTCTATATCCTAGTTAAGCTGCCAGATGTAAGCGGGCCCAGCCTCAGAGAGGTGGGACGTTACAGAATGGTATCAGAGCCGACTCTCGCGGTTTCACGGGCGCGTGTGTCGCAGTTGCGCAGGCATGGTGCGCATGGCTGGTGTGGATCCGGCGTGGTCACACAGCATGGCACATGCGCTGGCTCTGGACACACGGACGTGTCCAAGAGAGGACGCTCCTGGCTTGGGATTGATCGACAAGGACGTCGATCTCTTAAGGGGGTGATGATGTAACATCCCGGCCCAGGGCTTAACATGATTAATATGATACTCATATCAATAAGTTGTAACTTCTTTTCTAGAAGTCCATCTGCAAATAACTCCGAGGTTAAGCGTGCTTGGCCTGGAGCGATGGGTGACCGACCGGGAAGTTTTTCCCGGGTGCGCACGAGTGAGGACAAAGTGTGCATAAAAGATAAGTGTTGGTCTGTGAGGGCAGTCTATATTCTAGTTAAGCTGCCAGATGTAAGCGGGCCCAGCCTCAGAGAGGTGGGACGTTACAGAATAGTAACACCCCGGTGTTATGCCTGCATTTAGGCACTGCAAATCATACCTATCATGCATCATCAAGCATCCTAATCATACATGCCTAATCATGTAAATAACAATTGAAACACTGCTTCGAAATATATGAAACATGTTGTGAAACCTGAATGTTGCATACCTTTGTTTGAATTGTTTTGCCATAATTTTGCTTGCTAGGTTAGTAAAACATGTTTGGCTACTATTGTAAATCATCTAGGATTATTTAGTTAAATTTTTGGAGCAAGGTTTGTATTCAAATTAATTCAAAATTTTTGCTTCCAAAAGTAATTTCCCAAAAAATTAGGGTTTTGAGTTAAACATGGACTTTGATTTTACAATTCAAAATTTAGAAAGAATTTGGCTTTGGTCATAAAAGCAAAGTTGTAGAGAATTAAATTCTAATCAACTTTCATTTTTGGTACATTTTCAAAAGATGTCATTTTCTTGCTCAAAATGATATTTGAAAGCGGAAATTTAAAAATTTCTTAAAACTATAAATGGAAAAGGACTTTTTCTCCTCTGGCTGGCCGCCGCTCGCCCAGCCCATCAAGCCCGGCCCAGCCGACCTCCCCCCATGTGCCGCATGCCTCTCCTCAGCCTAGCCAGTAGCCTGGCTGGCTGCCTCACGCACTTGCATTCATCTTTCATTGCCACACATACCGATTGACCATGGTGAGCTCGCATCCGCCAGCGTGGTGGCCATGCGCCGTCGTCGGCGCCGCCTGCCTGCTTGTTCATGTCTGCGCCGCCGCGCCGCCTACTCTGCTGAAGCGGTGCGCTCGCTCGCTCACTCCCGCGCTGCCTTTCCTCTCCGCCAGCGCCAAGCGCACTCACTCTGCCTCTCGCCGCGCCACCGCACCCGCCGGCGAAATCCACCGCGCCTCCGCCTCGCTCTCCGGCACGTCGTGCTTGTGCCTGTGCCGCCTGCTGAGCTCAGGTAGTGACGTCTCGCACCTCGCCACCGTCGGCCATGGCGCCGCCATGCTCGGCCGCCATGGAAGGCACCTTCCTCCTCTTCTCCAACCCTGCCTAGCTACCTTCCCGCCTTTGCCATCTTCTCGCGAACCTCATACTCTATCGCTAACTTCGCATACATCACGGCCGGCAATCGCTGCCGGCCTGGTCGAGTGAGCAGTGCCAGCCAGCGATGTCGCCAGTATTGGCGTGGCCTCTGCCTCATCCGAAGCCAGGCCAAAAGGCCGTGGGTCGACGCCCTGCCGGGCCGTCTCCCCCTTCCCATTCGCTCGGGCCGCACGTGCCAAATGTGGCAGTGGGCCGAGTGCTTCCAGCGGGCTGGCCCAGTAGCGATTGAATGATTTGTTTTCCATTTTTTCTTTATTATTTGAAAATAGAAAGGGTTTGAAAAATGTTTGGATACTCAAAGTTGCTCCAAATCTGTTGAAATAAATTTGTCTAGGTTCCTTATCATCAGATCTACTTGGGAGAATTATTGCATGTCATTTTTGAGATACTTTGCTGTAGAATTTTATTTA